TTTTACAGCTAAGGGACTCTGACTTCCATGCTCAAGATTTCTAAAATTATGCACAGTCTCTATGTGACTGTTCAGAGATCTAGGAAAGCTAGTATAACAAAGCCAAGCTGTCCACTAGAAAATACCAGCAAGGAGTGCAGAGACAGAGTAATTTTATATTTGTGAAGATATACTAACTCTCTGCAGGGAGCTGCAGGGAAACACTTCCTTGCACTTATGAAGCCTTTAGGTTCATAAACCTGAATCCTTTCCCAAAGTGGAACAACTAAGTCTATTCCAAAAATATCTCAGAGGCCAATAAATAATCATACTATTATCTTTTAATTCCGTATCTTTGAGATAGCTAACCACAGAGTTACAGAAGCTATAAATTAAATTCTATCTTCTGAATAAGGGATAATTAACTCCCAGCTACCAAAAAGTACCAGCCACCATGCTGCAAAATGTCCTGAATATAGATGCAATCACCCAATCCGTTCAGTGTTCCAAGTTCCACTTTCCATACAATAAAGATTCACTGAGCCAGGAAGGAACAAAAAAAACCAAACAAAAACCCCCAAACTGTAAGCTACTATTTGGAAAGCTCACATATAAATAAAACAACAGATGTTTTAGTTTGTTTTGTGAAAGGTGGTAATCGAAGATCAGTCATCCATGCATCAAACAAGTGCTCTACATCTGTTGACTGAACAGTGCTGTGACAGCCCCACACCACCTCCTGAGAATGCTTTCGAAGTTGACTCCTGTAGGCAAAATAATCTAAGGAATGCTTTGTTTGAGATGTGACTAACAAAACCTCTTGGAGGTAGCTACATGTCTGCTATTTTTTGGAATTCCAGAAATAACTATAGGTAACTAAAGAAATTTACAGGCAAAAAGTCAGGCATGGATGGGATGCTATGCTAATGCATGTTACGTGGATACTAAGCTATGGCTTTGGTCTATATTTTGAACCTGGCTACCTGTGAAGCTCAGCATTAGTTTACCAACTAAGTCTTGGCTACAGTCATTGTCTCAGAGCAGCAATAGTACTCCTGTAAGATTGGGCATTCTGCTGTTGAGTCAGGAAAGATACTGACTGGGAATTGTCCTGGCTTCGGCTGGGATAGAGTTAATTTTCTTCCTAGTAGCTGGTACAGTGCTGTGTTTTGGATTTAGTACCAGAATAAAGTTGATAGCAACAACTAAAACATCAGTGTGTTAAGTACTGCTTACACTAGCCAAGGACTCTTCAGCTTCTCACGCCCTGCCAGGAAGAAGCTGGGAAGGGGCACAGCCAGGACAGCTGACCCCAACTGGCCAAAGGGACATTCCATGTGACGTCATGCTCAGTACGTAAACTGGGGGGAGTTGGCTGGGGGGCAGTGACCACCGCTCAGGGACTGGCTGGGCATCGGTCGGTGGGTGGTGAGCAACTGCATTGCACATCGCTTGCTTTCTATATTCTTTTATTATTATTGCTACTATTTTATTTTATTTCAATTATTAAACTGTTCCTATCTCAACCCACAAGTTTTCTCACTTTTACTCTTCCGATTCTCTCCCCCGTCCCACTGGGTAGGGGGAGAGTGAGCCAGCGGCTGTGTGGTGCTCAGTTGCTGGCTGAGGTTAAACCATGACAGGAATAGAAACATCAAATCTGAAGTGGTACTTTATGGGAATTACATTTTTAATTACAAAAGTGAAAGCAACTCTGATATGAGGAAATAACATCAGAAGTGCTGTATCAAATGTCAGTAAGTTCTGCATCAAATTAAAGCAGTGAATAATTCTAGAACTTGAATAAGCTAATAGATCTTCACAAAAAGAAAAACAGAATACATACTAGAAAAGAAGTGGGAGACTTAACAACATCCCCTAAGTAGCTTTTGGTAAGAATGGATGCTCCTGCCACCTAGATGCTAAAGCAGTATATACGTTGTAGAGATGAGATGATGGAGGAGCTTAAAAAGGGGTGTTACATACATCCATCAGTGGCTCAGTTCAGGGAGAAAACAGAGTACAGCAATTCCAGCGTCAACAAAAATTTGAAGTAACTACTTATTAGACCTGTTACCCATTAGATTCCCTTAGTAAATTGTTCATTTTGGATAGTATTTCCACAGAATAAGTAATTTCTTAATATTAGGGTACTTCACCTTAGAAGTAAAAAGTTTAAGATTAGAGCTTCAAGCCATTTAAATGAATGCATGTATTAAGTAAAATAGTCACTTTTTTTAGGTTGTTCATTTGGCTAAAAAGGTGGTATTATATACAGCAGAAATATATCCAACGCGTTTCTGTCCCTGCAGTTTTGTCATCTATGAAACCAGAAATTATATTTGATCAGAACTACGGCATTTTTCATGGTAAATACATTTATGCACAAGGGTAGTTTTATTCTTTGTTTTCTTAGTGTACTCACACAAACTCTGGGTGCAATATTAAAAGAATAGGTCAATGACCAGAAGTCACACACAACGTGCACATCCCAACTTCAAGTTGCACTTGTACAAGGTTCCAAACAGAAACATTTTTTCTGAGAAGGACTTTGTCTCTTACTTTATGAATGTACCTTGTACCCCAAGAAACAGTTCCAGATCGTGGGGAAAATCCACATGGCCTTCTCTTGGCAAAAAAGCCTGGACAACATCAGCTGCTAAGACAGAAACACGAGTGCAATACGTGTGAACAGAATACCCAAAACAGAGTGTTTGCTCAAAATCTGGTAAGGCTGAAAATGAAGACAACCATCAGCCACGTTGAACAGTAACCAGGCAGTTACCAAGAGACCTTGGGGGGGCAAAAAGAGTCAGCTTAAAATCAAGTATAAAAAGCACTAACATTTCTAACAGTGAGAAGAGAGAAGCAGTCAAAATCTGGTCTGACACTGAGAAGATGCCCTCCTGGCATCTCAAGCTCTGTTGAGGCCTGAGGGAGCACTCTCCCCAGCAGCTGGGAGTAGCCTGCATGCCTGCCAGTGGGCTGACAGTACCGGGTGCAACAAGCACTGACCGCTCCCGGGGTGTCTGCACATCACCTCATGGGGTGCCATCCCAACAGGTGGGTGGATTAGTGGAGCATAGGGAACAGCACAGGTAAGCATGCAGCTACAGCATCCACACCTCCAAAGAGGATGGATGTAAATAGGGTAATGTACTCCTAGAAGGGTGTGCTCTTATAACCCAAACCTTCTGTTACAGGGACAGAGGTGAGCATGTAACTGCAAACTTGGGGGGGATTGCTGTAGAAGGGTGTTTAGGTATCTGAAGGTGTTTATTTACTAAGGTTTTGTAAGGGTCTAGTACAGTCATTTATCTGTTATATTGCTGCTATTAATCCTGCACGTATAGTTCACGGACTAACAGTTAATTACAAACTATTAATAAATCAACAAACCACTTCAGTTCTAACTTGATTTAAGCCACGAGTTGTTTTCCCCTACAACAAGCACACGCACTCTCTTCAGTGTTTTCTACTTCACACCGATACACAGCCTTCGGCTAAAACTTAACTGTCTCAGGTTTTTCTTTTTCCTTTTCCGTCACCTGAGGGCACCCAAGATATTCAGGAAATCAACCAACTAGCTGTACAGGTCATATTTGCTTCAGTACTCAGACTGATTCCAATCAAACTACTACAATAACTGTACTCCCCCAAAATAATGGCTCCAAAACCCGGACCAAAATAGATCACGTCATTGAAAAGTGGATATTAAGTTCTTGGGTTAGACAAATGAAAATTTAAGAGGTTTAACATATATGCTAGCTTTCTTAAAATGGCTTCTTGAACAAGATGCTCTAATGAATTTAATCCACTAGATCAGATCTTTGCATCAGGAAATTCCAACTAAACACCATAGGAAAGATTGGTGTGTTTCTCCTCCCACAATTGACAAAGCTTAGTTATAGCTCACTTCTAGAAAACATTTAAAAAGTGTCATTCATATTTATTTCTTTTTTAAGCAGTGTAAAAAGCTACAGTTAAATTTAATTTTGTGTGGTTCACTTCTGTACTTCTGCTGATGACATTTTTATGAATTAGGGGTAATCAAGAATCCTTTTCCATGTTTTAAATTCACAAATTCTCAGAGTCTTTTGAAAACATAGGCTCTGCAAAAATCTAATGCTTGGGTTACAAAGTGTAGGGCCTCATTATCATCCCTATATCCTAAGTAGACTTGCATAAAACTATACATTGACAGATCTTGTAGTCAAAGACACTGAACAAGCATGCTCATTGATCTGTGGCTCAGACCCTCAGAACCTCTTTGAGGCTCAAAAATACTAATGTTCATGAAGCGTAAACGTCCTTCTTCTAAACTTTTTTATTTATGGGCTCCTAACTTTTGATTAGTCAAAATAATTATCTCCCAGAATTCTTTCTTCCATTCTTCTGTAACCAGGAGAAAAACATTCTGTATTATGCACAAAGATTTTTAAAACTAACTAAGCTTACAGGAGACATTATGTCACCTTAGCAACTACTTTTTACAAGTTACTTACTCTGCAAAAGCTGATTTTTAACACATACTTTTTACAAGTTACTTACTCTGCAAAAACTGATTTTTAACACGCACTCAGACTTTAAAATAACTTCTAGACTAGCAACTGGCAACCACATTCTTCTTCATTACAATTTTAGAAAGCCATAAAGACTTAAATCTGAAAAAAAGAATTAAAATATAACAGAGCCTTATGTGACAAAAACATCTGTTCATAGTAAATTAACTGTTTTCAAAGCTATTCATTTAAGTGCCATACGAAGAAAGTAACTAGTGGAAACCAGAGTAACCTAGAATTCCAAGAAGAAACACTACAGGGAAAAAAAAAACATTGCAGTTAAACACACACATAAAAGGCAGTTATCCAAATGTAGTCAGCCAGAGAAATGAACACCTTACCTGTCAGTTGCATGCCCCCTAATTCCGACACCGCTCCAATGCTGTATTTATTGCTCCTCACTTCTACTACTCTGCACCCTTTTTCCAAGTTAACAGAATATCTAAACTTTTTTTCTCCCCAAGTGCTAGGAAAAAGCTACTCTTGTATTTCTCTCTGTTCAGAAGGTACATTACCCCATTACCAAACCACATTCTTACCTCCTTTGCCGTTTACATATTCCATCCGTGGAATATGGAATCAAAGAACTGGAAACCCTTCCCTTTCTCTGTAACTTAGCCGAGCGCTGCAAACAAGCACTTCTCCAATTAACATTTACCCAGCACATTCCACCTCCTCACTCCCTTAACACATCTGAGTCACAACTGCCAGCTCAAGTGACTAGAAATTAACCTACTAAGGCAAAAATGGATAAAGTTAGTCATTTGACACGTAACTTCATAGAAACCTACCTCTGGGAAACTGGAGAGTTTCCCCTTGAAATAAGTGAATTTTATTTAAGCCAGAGAAGATCTGTAGAGAGATGCAGTATCTTGTATTAAGTCCACTGATGTACTATAAAAAAAAAAAATGGAGGCTTTCAGAGAAACAAGCTCTTTTTAGATTTAGTCTTAAGATAAAGGGCTATAAAGGTTATCAGACCACTTAGAGCCTCTCCCCCTTTTTCCAGGAGGGTTACTGTTCTTTTCCAAGGAAAATGAAAGATGAACTCATTCCCCTTGAATGATTATGGATTAGGCTTGTAAGCAAAAGCAGGACGGAATATTCCTACCCTCCTTATCGTGATGTGTTGTACCTTCTTTGCCCATTTCTTATTCAAAGTCAAAGCCTGGTAGGTAAAATAAACCCCCAAATTAGGCCCTTAAATTGATCTAGCCAGCTGAATACTGCATGAACAGTTTCTTTTTAAACAGCATTTCTGTTATTTTGAAAACTGAACATTGGTTAAGCAGTAGGAGGTAACTCTAGTATCTGTATTAGTCTTTCAATCAGAATTCAATAATCCTTGACAGAATATGAAGGCTTCTGCCTACCGTGCCTATTCGGTCTGTGCCACATTCTGTCAAACTCCACCTGCTGGATAATCTTCTTAAAACAAGCCTAGAGAAGCTTTCATTTCACCAGTATTGATACAACACCCAGATACAATGATAAAACTGTACACCTGATTATACATTCTTCATGCTTTTCGTTTCTACTGTTCTCTATCAGTACTACAATCAAGTGAAATCCCTGGGTAGGTATTTTTTCTAAACACCTCAGGTTAAAGGGCCATATTTGTAACCAGTATCGATTTCTGGTAATGCAGTTATATACAGGAAAAGTCATAGCTCCATGTCACAGCTAAGGAGAAAAAAGTATACTTCATGCTTTTCAGCCTCTGATAGTAGAAAAGCAGAAAGTAACGTGTAAATGTATTTTTAACTAATATTTAGATAAAGTATCACCTTTAATTTTTCAAATGCTATGAGATAAAAGAACGGGTAAAAAAAATGCCATGGAACTCCAAAAGAGTACCAACTCCAGAGAATGCCAATTCTAAGCCAGTTAACTAATTTGAAACGTACACGTCCATCTGAGTGCTAGGTGACTCTTCTGCTTGCTATTCCTTTCAGTAAATTAAGTCAAATCATGATACATGCATTCTGTTAGAGCTACAATGAAGCATCCCGCTTTCTTTATGGCTGAGTTCTACTATTCATGTTCAGAAACATTTCTAGATTTGGGGATGGAAGAAAAAGTAATTGAATTTTAGGGTTGTAGGTGAAGGGTAGTAACCTGAGATATTTTTTATAATACAGAACTTACTTAACCAATTCCTTATACGTAAGTCAAACATTCACATTTCAAACAGTAACCGACAGTAACTTTTTACCCATAATTTCCAACCCACAAAAAACAATAACTTAGACCTGTGTATTTGCTGATATTTTCTCTTATAGGATGTCTTATAAATACACTTGCCACCAAGTACTATTCTTTATTATGATCTACCATCCTTTAGGAAAAAATTAAAAAATAATGGAGCGTGATACACTCAAGACTTGCAAATCATACCTGGAGCACTCTGTGATACTGAAATGCTGGAAAAGGCATTACATTTGAGAATAGTAATTTAATCAAAAGTTGGGAGAGCATGTATTCACTTACAATACCGCTCAAATATTTCTCTAGAAACAAAAAATGAACGCCATTTTACATAGCTGATGCTGTAGCATAGGCAGTAAAAACCCAAAAAAACCCTCTATGTGCAGATTATCATAATTTCAAAATGTCGTCATAAAATAAGAACAAATGAAGATTATCTGCAATGAGAACTTTTATAGAAGCTCCACAACAACTATTATTTCTGATGAAGAACTATTTTTTTCCCCTTGAAAGAAGTCCATCTATTTTTGCCAGATCTCCAAATGAAACTGTTGCAGAACCTCTCTGGGCTGGTCTTGCCTAAGGAAAAAAAAGAAGAAAAAAAATATATAGGGCTAATTTTAAGTTAAAATATTTTGTAAAAAGCTTTTAAAGCATCAGTAATTTAAAAAGTATCTTCAAATAGAAAATAATTCAGCTTCACATTACCTGTGATTCATGGAATTTCCAGCCAATCATGTAGTAGATCTGAAACGTGGCAGGTACTGAGCCATCGCTATTTCCATACATTTCTGTTAGGGCAGGGAGAGAAAAAAGGTACACAGAATGTCAGTTCTAAGAAATACTTAGTTCTGAGAACATTAGAACTAAGTATGGCATATTCATCATAATGACTCTTGGTGAAAGATTTGGGACAATAAAAATCTCTCATACTGGTGCATCAACATAGTTCAAATCCTGTCATTATAATTAAGGTTAAGAATATCTGGTCGATAATGCTATTTTGCTCTATTCCAAAATGTTTCTGGTTTTTTTACACAGAGGTCAGAGAAAAAGACATAGAAAACATGTTCTTAAAGTCATTTCAGATTAACTCATTACCTCTCAAATACTTACCTCGGTATATTGCAGCAGCTGCCAACATTGTCTCCCTGTGTAGCAGAGGTTTTCTATTCCAAGAGCAATTACTCTCGCCCATACCTAAAAATATGTTTTAGCTTTAAGAAAAAGAAAATATAGCATATGCCATGAGTTAAGTGCCATGCACTAATGACAGATTTTTACTAAACCAGAGTAAGTATAAAATCCTCTGAATCTCACTGTAAGAGAGAACAACATACCGCAAATAATTAGGTGAGTTTCTTACCTATAAGAATCCAAGCCTTTTAACAGCAGTGCTTTGCAATGTACAGTTTGTATTGCTAGGAATGATTTCAAATTATTACTTCTTCAGCCTGAGTCTTCAAACATTTAGGTTTTTTAGTATAAATTATTTTAAGCATGAGTACAAAGTGTTTATTCAGACACACCACTCATGGGTGGTTGGTTTTTTTTTTTTAACAGATAAGCATCAAAATGACTATCCCAAGAGTTTTTTAATAGGAAATAAAATAACCACAATTCTAATCTCTTTAATAACTTACTGCATCTGAATGTTTCTGCAGAGAATGAAAGTTTTATTTTCATTAAAGAATTACTCTAAACAACAGCAGCTGATCCAGAGTAAGAAGACACCCTGAACTGCTGTGTAAGTAACAACTAACCGCATATCAATGACTACTTTACAACCCATGACAAATGCAATCAGAATACTAACTCAATTGTTAAGCATCTGAATCGTTTTTTGCTTTCCTCAGCAGGGTCCAATTTGAGGGTCTATTTATTCTCATTCCAAAGCAGTTTCCTGAATGTCCTAATCATTAGGGAGGCTCACGGGAAAAGATAGTATGTGAGATTATATGCTTCTGTCTCCCTTTCAGGGCTTTTCAGCAGCTTACACTGAACAGGCTCACAAAGAATGGGAATACAAGGGAAGCAGAAAATTCATAGACCACGAAATAGCAAATCTTTGACTTCTACCTCCCAACACAAATCTGCTGACAGGCATAATCTCCTGACTCACTAGAGATCAGGAAAAAAGTAATGCTTCCACTGTTAGAAAAAGCTTTATTTATATTTTGTTAAGGAAGAAATTTTTTACGCTGAGGGTGGTGAAGCACTGGCACAGGTTGCCCAGAGAGGTGGTGGATGCCCCGTCCCTGGAAACATTCAAGGTCAGGTTGGACGGGGCTCTGAGCAACATGATCTAGTTGAAGATGTCCCTGCTCATGGCAGGGGGGTTGGACGAGATGATCATTGAAGGTCCCTTCCAAGCCAAATCATTCTATAATTTGGAGTTAAGAAACACACAGTGAAACTCTTCTGTGTCTGCATCACTGATACAGAAAACATTTATGTTTCCATAAAGTATATACTTGCCTTGCAAGTCTTCCATAACCTCAAACAACCCTGGGTAGTTGACTTGAATTTCGTCAGTATCCTAAAAGAATTGAGAAGCTTAGTTTTAGAGCATATCAAGCTAAAACAGTAGCATTATTCTAGCCTTCAGAGCTGCTAAGACTATTCATCTGCCACTTCTGTTCAAACCGCCTAATTCTCAGAAGAATATACTGTCTTAACATTTCTAAAAAGTTTTGTTTAGCAGCCCAAATGCAATCAAATTTTAATTGAAATGCCATTATTTTCTTCTTGATTTTAGAAGAAACAGCAAGAGTGTCTAAAGTTTTTTCAAGCAGGTCTAACATTCTCTGACATTTCTCCAAGACCGCCATCCAAATTCTACTGGGCCACTAGCCAAAGATACACTTCAGATTAATCACAGTGAAGCCGAGAACAGAGGCAGACCAGGCTATTTCAGAAACTTATTCAGCAAGGTGCACAACATGCAGAAGGAAGCAGTACATTACTAATACATTCTTAAATAGTATTTTTTATATACCAGCAGCTCTGATGTTCTGGATTGTTCTGTCTGATTGTTCTCTTATTTATAATTACCACAGTCAGGGTGTTAAAGCCAGCTCTCGACAGCAGATGTCCCAAATCAGAGACAGCAGTGAACGGTGATACATGAGGAGAAAATCCCCCTTCCCTCTCCAATTCTGCTAGCTGCAAAGAGCAGCGAAGCTCATACAGAGTGTCTCCCCCAAACATTGCACCAATGAATACTCCATCTGGCTTAAGAACTTGGTGAATCTACAACACAGAAAAAAAAAATTAATGTTTTTTTGTTATTAAGCCTATGCAACTAAGAAGTTCTTAGGACTTTTTTTGCTTTTAAGTTCATTTAAAAAAAAAAATCGTTATAGTAGCTGTAACAGATTTTTAATGTTGACTGTATTCCACAAGGCAAGCTGAACCAAAGCTTTTGGTAACACTGCAAGATAAATAATCTGTCTGAAAAGAGACTATTTGTTCTTAAGAAAGAGTGAATCCCCAGAAATTACACTTACAGTCAGGAAACACAAAATGCGCTGTGGAAATATAGGGTAAAACTATTTTCAATGGGATACTCCTAAAACAATATCCTCAATTAATTTGCTTCTGAAAATAAGGTAGATTAAGATAGCTTCTGCTTACTTTTAGTTTCTCAGATAAGGGCAGCAAAAATACTTTTTAATAGCTTGATTTAAGAGAAATGCAGGCCTTAGTTTCTAGTGGTGATCTTTGTACTTCTGAACGCACAATAGAGTAATGCAATTTTATTATGTCTACCCCTACTTATTTTTAACTAGCCAGAATAGCAGTATCATGACACAAATGCCAAGGTTGACAAGCTGCTTTCTTGTCTAGTAAGTCCTAGCCCCCTCCCTACTGAGAAGGCCAACAAATTCATACTTTCTTTTTCCCTTAAGAATTGGCAATGATCCCTGGTTTAGATATCCAGAAGAGCCATATTACATAAACAGGCCAACAAGACAGCAAAAGCTTCAGACAGTTTACCTTACTGATTTGAAACAAAAATCTTTAAAACTTGTTTTTAATCAAGCTACCTTTTCAATGCCAATAAAGAAGCCTTTAATTGACAGGTAGGAAATTTAGGCAGTTGAAGGCAGTTTCCATTAGTTAAAGCCAGTCATCCCAAAGTAGGAAATGAGCATTCACGATGGAAGTTGGCCAAGAACTCCAGCTCCCTCCCCTTTGTGGGACATTATAGTGTGTCAGTTATTTTTACTGTGGAGGTAAAAATATTTGACACTCCACAGAACACTTAAATTCCACAGAAAATAATATATTTCTTTCCAAGTCTTTTTTTTTTTTTTAAGTACTGAAGGCATTCCGATTTCTATTTTTATTATTTCCATAACAGCAGGGTACTCCTATACATAACAACAGGTGATAGAATAGCACTGTAATGACTGACCAATTTGAAATAAATGAAAAAACAGCAAACTGGTTAAAACACTCCGTGTTCTTGCTCCCAAGTTAGCTGATTTGAAATAAGTTTTCACATGCAGGAAGGAGCTGAAATAATCCAAAAATCAGATTTTTTTCAGTAACAGTTTCAGTTTTCTGTCCTTAACAAGTATTTGCTTCATTTAAAAAGCTTTTATCTTATTAAAGTTGTATTTCAAAATAAACAGCTGACATATAAAAATAATACAAGTTCCATAAGCCGGTTCTGGAGAAGTTAGATTTAGAAAACTCTTGTACTACAAGTAGTAAGAACTAACACACAATAAAATCAATGGCATTGCCTCAGTTTACATTAGTGACCATGATCCCGGCTGTTGAGACTATAAAATATTATACAAACACGTTGTTTCACAGTTATTTATTCCAAATTGATTTGAGACAGTAAATGAGTAGAAATAGCAACTGATGCTCCTCAAACTGCCAAAAATACTGCAAAAAATACTTGTGTGCAACATGAGCTATTTCTGTGCCTCTTATTTAAAGAAGACCTGGAAATACAGAGCGCTCTGAAGGCAAGTAATGGCAAGTGTTGAAGTTTAGTATTAAAAAACAGTTTCTTACCTCTCTAAAAGCTCTAGGAAGGTCATTCACCCAATGTAAACTGAAATAACAGAAGTGTACATTTTGTAATTGCATATTAAATAAAATTTAGGGAATGCAAATAATTATTACATTATCTAAGTATGTTTCAGAAGCCAAAGCAACAAACTAGTTTCTCAAGCTGCAAAAGTTCCAAAATGCCTAAAAGTGATACTAAATAAAAACTAAATAGATGTTTTTTAAGTTGAGAAAATGCAGGTCCTGGAGACTAGGTTGTCAAAATGCAAGAAAGAGAGAAGCTACATGTGTTTTGAAGGAAAAACAAACAAACAAAACAGTAAGAACCACCAGGACAGCAGTTTGTCCTAATGTATGCTCGTATTAACTATGCAAGTACATTTCTTATTACTGTTTAATGGACTATTAATCTTTTTTTTTCCTTAAACTTACTCTGAAAAGAACATTATTTAATACCTTTAACCAAAAAATAAAATGTAAATAAGTGATTAATGCATACCTTAAGCTGCTAATAACAAGATCAAATATATCTTCTTTGAAAGGAAGGAATTCCTCATCAGCTACAACACTGACCGTAGGGATTTCAGAGTGTACAGCATTTTTCTAATGTTGGGTTAGAAGAAAAACAACATCAGAAGCTCACTTTCGCTCTCCTGTATTATGGAATTTAAGCACATTAGCATTCAGAAAGCTACTTACTAAAGCATTCTCTGAAATATCAACTTGAATAAGTTTTTCAATGGTTTCCTGAAATAAAATTTAAAGAGTCTATCAAATATTTAAGTTGTTTTACAAGTTGATGTTAGTAATTTCTTGGAACGCTTACACATACTTATGATAAGTTGGAAGGAATCTCTTTAACCCTTGATAAAACTTTACGTAAAGCAGAAAGCATTTCCCCCCTCAATGTAATACTTCATAATTGCTCCCAGGGAGAATAGCTGAGGTAAAAGTAGTAACAGAAAACACATTCTGCATTTTTAGGTATAAGTTCAGTCAGATATAAACCATGGATTTACAGCCGATGAAGTACCTTTACTTACAGCACAGTTCATGAAGGGCAAACAGTTCACCATTTAGAAGTCTCCATAACGATACTTCTCTTTAACAACTAAGTGCATCCAACAGAGATTGATCGAAAAACATGCATCGCCCTACTCAAGACTAAAGGTTAACTATCATACAACAGATAGCTTCCATTGCACTACTATCTGTCTAGTCTTCGGTGGCAATAGGGTAACAGCCTGCACAACACACGTCTTTGGACTGTAGCTACAGATACGAGAGGGGGAAAAAAAAAAAAAAAGGAGTTACCTCGTCAAGATTCAGAGGATTGTTCTGAGTTACAATAGAGCCCTATTTGAAAACGGAGGGATAAATACGTACTTATTTTAAACACTTTGAAGTATGAAGAGACGGTACCTTGGTTAAATGTTGAGCTATGTAACCTCTTCCAGAGCCAACATCCAAAGCAAGAGGAAATGTTCTAAAGGATAAGTTTATCAACACAAAATATAATCAACACTTAGTAAGTTTTAGACTATATTAAGTTTTGTCTGCTCATTTCCAAACGTCTTTTCGAGCTAAACACATGGAGCATCCATCTGTGGTTACCGCTACGAGGAAGCGCAGAGAAAGGCTCTCACAAGCCACCGTTTCTTCCCGAGGGTCACGTCCCCTGACCGCGACCCTGCAGCTGCAGGCGAGCGTGTGGGATACGGTGCGGTGCCCCGCTTCCCCCCGCGGCGAGGCTTACCTGGTGATATCAAACACCCTGTCCGCTATCCTGCCGCCGACC